GCAGAAGCACATAGTGACAGCTTACCTGAACAAGGAGGAGCTAACGGCCACTAGACTGATAGCTGGGAAGCCAGCATGGGACTGACTCAGGCCCCCCTGAATATGGGTCTCAGCCAGAAGGACTGAGCAGTCTAAGAGACCTCAGACAGCGGAGCCAGGATGTATCCCTGGTGCACAAAAGGACCTTGCTAACACATCCTCCATGGAGGGATAACTGCCTTAATCTAGAGACAGGAGAGAAGCCCTAGTCCCTACTTCACAGGACCTGTCAGATCTACATGACCCCAACTGGATGGCATTCCCCTACATATGGAATTGGGGTGGGGGGATGGGAGGGGAGGGTGTTTAGAGTGCATGTGAGAGGGCAGAGAGGGTAAAAGGGAGGGAAGGAGGGAGGGAGGGCTAGGGGGGAGGGAGGGAGAGAGGGAGAGGGAACTGGGATCGACATGTAAAATAATAAATTAAATTAAAAAAAAATACTTTGACTCCAAAATTTAAGTTGAAGGACAAGTTACTGGGGAAAAGGATTTCTATTTTTGTTTCCACAGAGAATGAAAAGATGTGGATTCCGTCTAGACTAATGTGGTTTGATCACACCAGACCGCCTGAAACAGAGTACAAGGTGATCCTACATTCAAAACAGCTGGACAAAGCAGCCTTATAGACTACAGCCAGGATATCTGAATCTTCTTCGAATCCCCCAAGACAGCGCCCCTTACCAGCAGGAAGTAGTTTGGAAAGAACGACGCCCAAATTCCCAAATATTGTGTATAAATGTTTTTCTTTTAATTGGACTTTGTTATATGAAATAAAAAAAAAAAAAAACTCTTCACAGTAAGGAAAAAAAATAAAATGTGGGTCAGGAATGTACAGAAGGTAATTCTCTCAGAAGATTCCCATCCACACCCACACTTGGGTGGGTCTCACTTTCTGTGAGTCTCCCTTGAGAAGCCCACCTCCATGCTTACAAGTGTATCTTAACTTTCTTCCTAGCACCTCTTTCTCTTAACACTCCTGCTTATATTTGTACGAAGATATCTCTATTAAATCCCTACTGCTTCATAAAAGTAAATGTGTAAAAACAGTTGTTTCATTTTAAAAATTGCCTTCTAAGATCTCTGATGGTGTCTCACTGACCATGTGCCAAAATGCCATTCATCTGCATCCTTGACCATTGTAGGCACCGAGTTTTCATGTTTGCTAAAGCAAAATCAGCAACTGAAGCCAGATATGGTGGCACATGCCTGTAATCCCAATACTTGGGAGCCTGAAGGATTAGGAGTTCAAGGCAATCCTAAATTACATGGTATACTGGAGGCCAGTTTGAGTTTATGGGAACTTGTGTCAAGAAAAAAAGCAAAGGAAAAGCACAGACAGACAGCCTCCTTTTGCACACCCTTTGTGTGGTTATGGACTGCTGTTTTTCCTATAAGTTCCCTTTTCATAATTTCACCTGTTTTTACTTCTGTAAACTACTTTATTATTTGTGGAAGTCAGAGGGAAACTCTGAGGAGCAGTTTTCTCTCTCTATTGTGGGACTCAGGGATTGATTGCCAGGCTTGCAATTTTACCTGCCAAGCCACCACATCAGCCCATTTTCCTACCTTTTTTTTTTTTTTTTTTTCCTTTTTGACATGACTGACTTCAGTAGATATTTTGACCCTGTATGATATCTTATAAACAATTTTCCTTTATTTCCTTTTCTTTTTAATTTGGGGCTGGTAACAGGAGAATTTAAAATCGTGTGCTTACACTATCAAATTTTTCCTACATGCGCAGTCTGTTTTCTCCCAACATCTTTATCCACTGGGTAATTGTGCAAACATTTACTTTTCTAGAAATTTTATATTTTTATGTTCTCATTAAAGTTTTCAGATCATCTGGAATTTGTTTAACTGTAAAGTGCAAGATTAAAAAAAAATCAAACGTAATCATTTCTCTAATCAGTTAGCCAGTTGTTCCAACGCCATGACTGGAATGGTCATTTAATTTAACACTAAATTCATACAAGAGTCTGGCTCTGCTTGGGGCTCTACTTCTTTGCTGTCTGCCAATTATATCATGGTTTTTTTTTTCCATCTTAAAGTCAGTTTGGGCAGTTTCTGCATTTTACTTGGCTAGTCTTTCAGTTTATTCTTCCATATAAAATTAAAATTTCACTGGGACTGTACTAAAAGTCAATGTTAAGTTTAAAACAAGTGATATCTTTACAATGCTCTTTTAATTCTCTGTTTGGTAATCATGAAATGACACCAGCAGCAGAGAATGGGCAACTGTCCATGGCCATGCCTGTTGTGAGTCCCAACTACCACACTAAGTCTCTTAACAACATTGTGACATAGATGCTATTGTCACAAGCATTTCACAGAGAAAAACCAAGGCCTAGAACTTGTTAAAGTAACAGTTGGTGGTGACTGAGCCAGGACTCTTCCCTGGTGTCTGTCTCCAGATACTGTACTATGTCTGGAGTCTAGACCATGCATTTATTCTCATTTTTCTTTATATTCCTCATAAAGTTACTCCTTATATGTCACTCATATGTCATTTTGTATGTCTGTAAAAATTGTTCTCAATAGGTTTTGTTATATTTGCCCTAAGTATTTTTATTTTTAAAAATATTTTATACACTTAGTTTTATATGAACACATGTGGGGGGGAGGAGGGCTTGTGGGATTTGATGTCCTGGAGCTGGAGTTACAGATGGTTGGGAGCCACCCAATGTGGTGCTGGGAACTGCACTAAGGTCCTCTGGAAGAGCAGACAGTGCTCTTAAATGCTGAGCCATCCTTCCAACTCTCTATAATAATTTCTAATGGTTGCTGGACAAGGGTATCAATAAAATTTGAGGTGTTTACAGCTGGATAAAATGGTAGGGTGAACACAAGCAGAGAACAATGATAAATAGGCATGAAAAATATCACAATAAAGCCCATTATTTTGTATGTTAACTAAAGAATTAATTGCAAATTAGAAAGCAATAACTGAGGTGCTAATCTGAAACATGTAGTTTAATAACTCCCTTATTGCATAACAATACTGTCTAGCAATAAACTAACACATCTAATTTTTTTAGGAATGGAAGATCATTCCAAAGCATTTGAAAGTGCTGATGTTATCATTAGTTCTTCGTGTCTTTAATGATGTCACTGCTTTGTCTAATGTGGCAGAGATTGACCATGTGCAGTTTTGAACACTTAAATAAAGCCAAGTGAAATTAAAATCGAATTTCTCAATCACAGTAGCCAGGTTTCAAGTACCATTAGCCACCTTCTGCATGTGGGAACCACATGGACTAGTTCCCTAGAACACTCCCACCACTTACAAGTTGGTGACTTTAGAACCATCAGATCACCAGATCACCGTGACAAAGGAGCGAGGCAGGTGGGATGGTTTACTCTTTCGTTCGCAACTTTAAAATGGATGCTCCTTTGTAGTGATTTAGTATTAGAATGACACTGAGTTTCAAATCTGTACGTGGCGATATGTGTGACTGTCATCATGTCAAAGCAGTCCTATCTGATTTTGTTGCTCTCTAAGTAGTTTTAAAAATTGAATTAATAGTGAATTAAACATTTTATGTATCCAGTGTTGCTATGTGACTGGCAAAGTCTCTCTGGGATCAATTCACTGTCTCTGCCTTCTGTAGCCCCCAAAGCTGTCCTGGAGAGGGATGAAGTTTGGAGTTCAAGCTGCTTCCCAACGCCAATGGCTGTGTTGATCTCTGAGCAGGTGGGAGGCATACCTGCTCACAGGTGGTGAGTGCATACCAGGAAAGAAGGGGAACAAAGGATGAGAAAGCAGGGTTCAGGGGTCAACTGGCAAGTGCTGGCTACAGGGTGGGTCTGACTGCATGTTGTGTGCCCCCCATCACACACACACACACACACACACACACACACACACACACACACAGAGTTTGCCCCACAGAGGTCATTTCAAAGTCATCAGACAGAGCTTTTGACTCCTTGGGGTTTGGGTTCTGGAGGTAAAGTGGGGATTAATAGTGGCTTGGGAAGCAGCCTCCACATTGTACCTGCTCAGGGACACTGGAAAATGGTTTCAAACAGCACACACATTTTAGACATACGAAAGCATTCCAAATTTTTAATAAAGCTAACTGAATGTTTTAATGTTTGATATTATCCCAAGCCAGAAATTCCAGATGTCTGAGAGGAAGCCACCACTTGTGTTTAAACTATCAAGAGGGTTTCAAAGTGTCAAGGAGAGAAAAAAAGGTGTGTCCTTCAATTTTCCTAATTTAAAAACAGGTTCAGACCTCCTCTCTTCTGTGGCTATTAGGAGAAAACCCAGAGTGAGCAGTTAGCTGCCTGTGGGTGGGGGTCTGCCTTCTTTCCCTCCTAAACCTCTGGGCTACAGAGCAGAAAGAATAAAGCCCAGGAGGGCACAGCATGATGGAGAATGTAGCACAGTGTGGCTGTTGTTTATCACTGCAGACAGGGAGCCAGTAATTGTCTGTGTGATGGAGGCCAGATGCAAATAATAACCAGGCTGCCAGCATCCTTCTTTCTGGAACCATCTCTCCTGGACAGCCACTGAGTCACACGTCTTTAAATTTAGATCTTGCCTATTGCAAATGTCTCCTGGAGGAGGTTCCGCAGTTATGACAGTTCATTTTCCCTCATGAGATGCATTTAGTTTTACTTCCATCATTCTGATTTCATGTAAAGTATTCACCACAATGAGGGTTTCTTGGCGATTCTAAACAAGAACCTTCCAGATTGAAGAAAGTCCCAGAACCCACACATGCAAGCCCAGTATTTTGGTTTTTGCTTTATTCAGGATTAATCAATTTAGACCATCTTGTTTTCATTCTTACTCCAGAATCTCCACAGGTCCTAACTAAGCAGGGCCTGCCTGCAGGGCCAACAGGACCAATTGCTCCTCACTGGAGGCCTCATTAGCACTGACAATTCTCTGAAGGTCACTGTAGGTGGCTATGTTACTAATGCCCCACTCCCCCCAGTGTCATCAGGACTTACTGAGTGTAACCGAGTCATTGATCTTGAAGCTGCAGAGAACCCTGTCCACGTTGCGGGCGTGTCGGAAGCCATTTCCTCTTACAACCACTTGAAAAGACTCTGAAATGGGGAAGAACGGCACACATTACTTGATCATCACTGAGTGTGGTCTTGCTTTCTGTGCACCACAGAGCCCATGGCTGCTGTTTCCATAGGCTTCAGAATGCCAAGGGTCAGGGCAGGTAGAATGAGAGTAACACGAAGGTTCCTTTCCACTCACTGACCCCCTTCTCTCCAATGTTCTCAAGGAAGCTGCAAGGCTTGCTGCTCAGAAATGCCACTCCCTTCTTCTGCTCCTGTCTGGAGTATCCTCCTCCCTGCTCTCTATTCAGACCTTACTCACACTGTTCAAGCCTAGACAGTTCTAAAAAAGCCAGAGGGGACCCAGGGAAGGGTCCTCCATGCCCTTCACACCATCCCTCCTTGAGTCTGATTTACTCACACTGTTCAAGCCTAGACAGTTCTAAAAAAGCCAGAGGGGATCCAGGGAAGGGTCCTCCATGCCCTTCACACCATCCCTCCTTGAGTCTGATTTACATTTTGGAGTCTCCTGAAAGAATTTCTTCAAAGCCAAGATGCCTCATAAACTTTAGGAACTACGGACCATGGCCCTCAGAGCCTGTGGTGAATCACTGCCAGGCATACAGCTATGTAGCCTCTGGCAGTGCCCTTTGTCTCTTTCTTCCCCACCCAGAAAATATTCCTTTAGTTAGTAGTGGTGTGACTTTTGCAGCTTTCCTCTCTCCCAGCTGCACTGATGTCCTGTGTAGCATGGTGCAGGAGTCACTGTACTCAGCTACTGGACTCTGTGGAGGTCAGATGTCATGCATAACCTGCTTGAACTGGCCTTCAGGGCATGGCCATTTTTCTATGACTAGGAGAGACCTCATGGGTTTGCATATCAATTGCACACTGGGAGAATGTATGTCCAATTATTAGTATGGATGATTGACATTATTAAAGGTTTAAAAACTCTTTATAATAATGTCCTACCAAGGAAAAAAGCCAATCAGTGAAATGCTTAAAAATGTTTGCTTATGCTGGTGATATCAAGTGATCTATTCTGTTTATTCATTTACTTTTATTTCTGCAAGCCTGTGTGTAAGGATTCAGGCATTATGCTGGCCTGTCCCTGTCACCTGGCAGAACATACTCAAGCAGTACCCTGGTCAGCATGCAGGTGCAAAGGAACCCTTTAAAAGAAAGACCCCACCCATTTATGCCTCCCCCGTCCCCCTCCCTCCTGCCTGTCTTTCCTGCTGTTCCCCTGAGGCAGACAGGATTTTTCCTGTCTCCCTTTTCTCTTCTGTCCTCTCTGTCTCTGTGTCTTTACCTCTTTTCTCTTTCCTCCCCCTCCCTCCCCTTTCTAATCAAACTTCTCACTTAAGCTCCATCTGCCTGGTATGTTTGTTCCTCCACCTCGGTCACCCTCGCTTACCATGAAATCGGTCAAGATTCCCCATTCACTTTATCATAACACTGTGCACCTGCCTATAGCAGCCAGAAGACAACCTTAGCGGTTGTTTCTCAGAAGCTGTCTACCTTGGGTTTTGAAGCAGGGTCTCCTCTGACTTTAGGCTTGCTGAGTAACCTAAGCTGGATAACCAATGAGCCCCACCTGACTTTGCCTTCCTGATGCTACAATTTAAACTATATGCCATCATACTGTCTTAGAGGTTCTTTTTTTTTGTTTTGTTTTGTTTTGTTTTGTTTTGCTTTGTTTTTGTTTTCAACCTGTGTCCTGGGGATTGAACTCTAATCCAGACAAAAAAAGTGCAGTTTGTGAAAGTGGATCTAAAGTAAATTGCTACCCAAATTGAGACTTCATTGGTGAGAGAATGGAAGAGCTAGCATATGGGACTCTTTCAAAGTTAAATAAATGTCATGAGCTTATATCACTTTCATTCCCATGGAATTCAAAGATCTTGTTTGCTAAAGCTATAACTGACAGTTAATGGCCCCTCACTGTGCCAGCCCAGTGGTGAGCGTTGTATGGATCTGAGGTAATTTCCATCTCTCTGCACTCTGGGAGTGTAGCTGAGAAAGTGATCTCAGAGAGGTTATATAACTGCTTAAGATCACACCAATAAAAACCCTCAGACCTGATCTGGAATCCAGGGCAGTCAGTCAGGCACCAAGAGCCACTAGCTTAGCCGTCATCCACTATCTGGCTGAAATAGAAAAATGATGCTCCCTGTGATTTCTTTAAAGTTCATTTTATCCTAGTTTTGGATAGGTGTGTTCATTTGTCAGCCAGGTTGGGCTGACCTATGCTGAGAGTATAACTAAGAAGGAAGGCTTTCAAAGAAGAACTGGGGCCAGAAGAGAAAAGGAATTAGATTCTGACCTTTGGATGATTTGCCCAGAACCAGCAAAGCTGGACTCATATCCTCAGAGTCAGAACCCTTGGTTGGGAACTTTATTAGTCAATGTGGTTTCTCAGGGCTGCAGGCATGGGCAATGGGGATGTGTCGATAGTTTAGTTTAGAGGGTGGGTTTAAAACCTTAGATGCTTCCCACCCTAGCACATCTCTGATCATTGGCAGCTTCAATGGATGGGAATACTCTCACTGCATTGTATCTTGCGGAAACCTATTTTGTGTTTCTAGCTTGAATGCCAGACATACAGACATCTGGTCGACACTTCTGCCGATTCCATGTGTTTTCTGCCTTGCCTTTGGCCTCCCTCTTGTTTCTTCACAGATCAGCAAAGAAAGAGGAGATGCTGCAAACAGACTGCACGCCAAGCTCTCTTCTCTAACACCATGTTCAGCACTGCCTGTTCAGCTGTTGAACGCTCTATAAAAGGAGCTCCCCACATGTCTGGTTGGCCCAGCTTCAGCAAGTTGAGGAAGGAAGGCATGAGAAGGGACCCATGATGGGAACCAATCATGCAACCACTTAGGCCTGGGGAGAAGATGCTGGAGTGAGAGGCAGGCTCTTACACAGCCTGGCACAATTTCCATGTCAGCACACACATTTGGTTCCCAGAACAGCCCAAACATATGACCCAGCAGCCTCACTGGAATGTCAAATTCTTATACAAGGAAGTTATGTAATCCACTTCTGTGTAAGGAATCTGTAGCAAGGAGGAACCAGGATACACCTCACTTTAATGTTCCTTATCCCCAGAGCCCTACAATTTACCCCTCACTGTAAGCACAGTTCAGTGCTTACAGGAAATGTGAGTACAGGATACTCTGTAGGATCCCAGCTCCTTCAGGAAGTTTCGGGATGGACCTTCAGGGAAAATTGTCTGTGTGCAATGGTCTTTGATTTAATCTTGTGTGATATTTATGCTTTAAGGTATGTGTCCTCAAGATATTAATATCCTTGTGCAATTCTTCTCCCTAACAATAATTTAAGGTTCTTGACCACAGAATTTAGCATTTCTATTTCTTCTAGATGCTTGCCTGTGCTAACCTGCAATGGGATTACCTCCATTTAAGCTCACTGGATGAATAAAAGAACAAAATGGGGACAGGCAACCTCTTTGGCAATAATCTGGCAGTTCCTCAAATTTTTAAATATAATTACTCCATGAGCCAAACTTTCTAGTCCTAGGTATATGTCCAAGAGAAATGAATACTGTCTGTCCACACAAAAACTTGCACAAGAACTAACAATAGCATTGTTCCTAAGAGCGTGCAATAGAAACAGCTGATGCCCATTAACTGATAAATAAGATTTCTCTACGTAATAGAGTATTACCTAACCTTAAAAAGAGACCAAGTTCTGATTCATGCTGTGACACAGGAGCTACACTAAATGAAAGAAGTGAGAAGAAAGAACCATACATGGCAGGATTCCATTCTTGTGAAATGTCCAAGTTAGCAAAGCCAGGAAGCAGGTTAGAGGCTGCTTCAGTGGGGGATGGGAGAGACTGCTCACTAGGCACCTTTTCTTTCTGGATGCTGAAAGCACTGTGGAATTAGGATGCTGCTGTGGTCACACAACACTGATACGTTAAAAACACCAAATAAATTGTATGCTTTAAAAAAGCAAATTCCATAGTTTGTGAATTAAAAAGAGCAAACTCTTTCCTTTTCTTTCTTTCTTTTTTTTTTTTTTTTTCTTGTTTCTTTTTTCAGTTAATGCACATAGTTTTGGGATGGTTTCTGTCACTCACTGGCCTGGAAATAGGGACATCTGCACATGTTCCCCTTGCTGTGGTCTCTCAGTCCTGCTGTGTCTGACTATGGTCAGACTTCATCTTGTAAGTCAGTGTGGGTTTTCTTTCCTAATAAATGCTCATTGCACCATGCTGCATAATTCAGACCATTTTGATTTTGTAACAAGATCTGTGAGACATAGCTGGTATATGCTAGCATGCAAGGGAAAGGTAGGATTTGCCAGGAGAGCAGACAGGAGAACAGTCAGGATAGTGGCCTCTTGACCATCATCAACGAACCCTCTGTTGCCTTTGACTTCTCTCCCTCTTCCTCCTGGTCTGCTTTCTAATAAAGCATCAGTTCAAACTTTCTAGAAATTCATGCTAAGAATCGTGCAAACAAGCTGTTTTTCTTGGTACTTCCATCAGTGCACTTAAGGCTTGCCTATAATTACTTTGAGGTTTATACAGGTTTGTTTCAGGGATGAGTATTATTTCAACATTCAGAAAACTTAATTTTTTTTTGTCCAAATATTCACTTGCTCATGAATATATGAGTGGTTTACAGCTTTGGGTCTATTAAAAATAGAGCTAGTGTGAGCAACCATAATTAATTTTGCCTGGTCATAGATTTCATTTCCCTTTTTATTTTGGGTAAATGCCTAGGGATGGCAAGGCTGGGCCATATTGCCATCCAGTCAGTGTATTTAATTTTTTAGGAAACGGATTTTCACTGTGGGCTTTCCACTTTGCATTTTCATCAACAGTACAAGAGAGTTCTTCCAATCAGAATTATCTTCAATTAAGGATGTGTGTGTGTCTAGAAGACCATGAAACATTCCATTCAGAAGAAGGTCTAGCATCAGACACAAGTGCTTGCAAAACATTGAGAAGGTCAAGAAATGAAAACACCGCTTGACTTTGCCAGAATGAGTCTATTCCAAACATCTAAATTTCAACAGCAAATGTGAAGGCTTTCATATGACTTGCTTGTATATGAGCCTTGACTACCTCATCAGAATCAGGGACAAACAGTGGGATACTCCAGCTGCCTCTGAAATGTCGTGTGAGGACTGAGTATGACTTCCTTTCTGGAAGTGCTGGTAAGGACTTTAAATGCAGACCAGATTTGATCCCAATCAGTTTTTGCCTGGAGTTCTTGCTTATGGAGTATGTGGTGAACTCTGAGCCCACTGAGCTCAGCGCAGTGTGTGTTTCCTACATAGGAGTTCAGTCAGGTAGAGCCAGCCTATGGCTGGGCCAACTTTCCTAATTACACAGAGCCTGATATGCAAGAATGTTTAATACAAACTTTTAAAGGCATCTATGTTGGAAGGGAGCAAAGTTATTTAAGTGAAGATGGTGTCAAAGCTACCACACAGCAGGTGATGACTGTGTGCTTTGGAACAGGGACTGGATCGAGACAAAGCGACATGCTGAATGGCCACCATGTTTTGGTCTGAGTTGGGGGTGACAACAGGGAATAGAAAGGGACTATTGAATGGGAAGGGATACCTGCATATCAAGTCACTCATTCCGAACAACGGTTACCATGAGAAAATACAGCTCCACAGTTACTAGATTTGATTTTCCAAGATAGTATGAAAAGTAGAATCTTTAAGTATATTGGTGTTTTAGCATATTAACAATAACTGTATTTAAAAAAAACCTGCAGTGTGAATAAAAAAAAAGAATACATATGACTGTCATTTAAAGCACTACCTTGAACAGTTCCTGGCACTGGATAACCCACCCAGAGAATTTTTAAAATTGTCTCCAACACCTTAGCAGTGTGTAAGGGAGACTCTGAGTAATTTGTTGAGTATAGAATTATTGAGAAGGGCTTTTTTCCTATTGTCTAGATGGTTATTGCTTTTTAATTGTGTTTCATTCTAGCTAAACAGTTAAAAAGTATAAGACCTCTTATGATTTTATGGGAGGAGTTAAAAAGGATCAAATACAAAAAAGTCAATGGAACTGTATTTTTGAAGAAATACATAAATGAATTTATTGATGGCCTATTTAGTGCCAGGTGCTTTGCTAGGCGGGATTCATGGAGAGAAATAAGGTACTTAGGGGAAGGAGTTAATGGTTCTCAAGGATTGGAAACTGCCCATCCCCCTGCAGGCTTTCTGATGTATCACAGGGTTGCTAAATATCCAAGAACTGCAAAGCCAAAGCCTGGTTTTCTTCATGCATGAGATAATTGCACAATCAAGGGACTTCCTTGTCTTCTAATTACTCTAAAGTTCAGGATTATAAAAAACATATTGGATTCACACATAATACACGAAGTTCAAGTACTCTGTGTAGCCCACTCCTTTACAGGAAGCTCACAAAGCTCAGGAGACTGACCTTGAAGTCAATAAAGTCTAATTCAGTTTAGCTCTGCTCTGCACAAGCCCTTTTCAAGGCTCTGGCTTGAGTTCATCTGCTCATATCTTCGACAAATTTCTCTCCCGTGTTTTTTTTTTTTATTCAGTGTGTGTGTGTGTGTGTTGCCTGCATGTATGTGTGTGCACCACATGTGTTCTTGCTATCCTTGGAGTTTCATCAGAAGAGGGCATCAGATCCCCTGGAAATGAAGTTACAGATGTCTATGAACCACCATGTGGGTGCTGGGAACCAGGGTCCTCTGCAAGAGCAGCCAGTGCTCTTAACCCCTGAATTGTCTCTCGGTGGCATGAAATGGAGCTCAGAGGCTGGCCATCCTCCTGCCTCAGCCTCCTAAGTGAAGGGATTGTACATGTGAATAACCACACCAGGCTTTCTTTGGAGACATTCTCTTGGAATGATCCCTGTGCTGAATACATTCCCCTGTCATTTGTGTTGCCAAACAACACTTTATTTGAACATAAAAAGAAAATCTTTTCAAATTGCTTTTCTTTGGGAAATTAACACATATTCTGATAGCCACCGTGTATTTTGCTAACAATTTCACACACATGTGTATGTGTACCTGTATGTATATATTCATGTGTGCACATATACATTAATATATGCATGGAGTTCATATACATATGTGCATATATGCATGCCCATAGGCATTGAGTCTCGCTAACATGTCTGTTTGTCTGTATTTATTGTGATGTTGACACAGATTTAGTGTCTACTACCTCCTTGACAATTTTCAATTGCTCTAAAATGTAATCAAGAATTGAGAAGGAAATCCTTAAGCAAGCCCCTCCATTATACCAGTAAAATGTACTACAATCAAGCTCTTCCTGCAGGATCTCTGAACACCAAATGCCAGTCACAGGGACTCACGATAGTGAGTGAGAAAAGGTCAGGGCAATGGAACTACAGAGTCCATCCTTGTATCTCCAGCACCCAGCAATGTGTCCAGCCCTCAGCAGATTAAAAGGACTATTAAAGGCAAGAAACAAGACTGGTCCCTATGTATAAGAGGAGTGCATGCTTAAAGCCAGAGACAGCCCATTATAACATGAAGCTGGGCAAAGCCCCAGTTTTCATCACTTGGAGATAATCTTGTGACTCAATGAAAAGGCTACTCTCTAGAAATATCTTCCATTGACATTACATTCTTTTGTTTATTTATTAATTATATTATATGTAGAGTGTTCTGCCTGCATGTCATAAGAAGGCACCAGATCTCATTATAGATGGTTGTAAGCCACCATGTGGTTACTGGGAATTGAACTCAGGACCTCTGGAAAAATAGCCAGTGATCTTAACCTCTGAGACATCTCTTCAGCCCCGGGAGGATAAATTCTAACAGACTTTACAGTAAAGCCTGGAGTTCTATACCACCATTTTTTTTAAAGTCCTGGTAAATGGAACAATTAAGACAAAATAATAAATCAAGCACATAGAATACTTAAGTGCAACATTTCAAGGGAGGCCCAGAGCTCACTGTGACCCTCTGGTGAGGGTTGTCACAAGGAAGGACAATTCTACTACTCACAGGCAGGACAATGTTGGGATCAGCCTTGCATCAAGGTGAGAATCCAGTATTTCTACACTTTCCTTGCATTCATATCCCACAAGGAGAATTTTACAGCTGATTTCAGGCTTCCCAGCAACTGACATATTTCTCCTTCCTTTTCCTTTCCCCACAGATTTTATTCGCAACTTCTGATTTTTAAAAACACACCTGCCTCTTGCTCCACTCCTACTCCTTTACCCATAAAGCAAATATAGATTTGAGCTAAAAAATACCACCAACTGAATGATAGTGACTAGCACTTAATTTCGATTTACCTCCTGCGCATATGGTAGATGGTTCAGCTGCTAGAATTTCGATGCAGGATTTCTTTAGAATCTAAGTGGAGAAGAAATAAAACAATCAATGATGGGCTTGTTTTACTAAAAGAGAGAATTAAGACAGTGCTGTCAGATACGAGAAAGAGAAGTTCAAGGACACTAGAGTGCAGGAGAAACTGGGGGTGACACACCATTGTCAATGAACCTATTATACAGGTGTCCTGTTTTGAACCATGAGATTCAATATGGCATTACAAATGTTATCTCTACAATTCCTGGGGGAGATGTAAGCGTGTCAACAGTTGGTAGGCCCCACCAAGAATTCTCACAGATCTTGTGAAGATGACAGCTGTTTGGCTTGGAGGATAGTGCTTTACAACTGAATGTGACTTTCATGTGACATGATAAACAATGGCCAGTCCTAGGTAGGGCTAAAGCTAAAGGGGCAGATGGGAGGGGACAAACCAGAGGGCTTGTGGGGAGATAGATGCTAAGGGTTCCCAAGAAAAGGCAGCTGAGAATGGAACTTTAACAGAGAGGAGTTGGGTCAGCTAGGGTATAGTTGGGGAAAGTACAGGAGACATGCAGGACACAAACTATTGAAGAGCAGAGAGGAGGCGTGAGCACAGACACAGCACTCACACTGCTCAGAGTTCTTTTCACAGACAAATCTGCAGAGCTGACCCAATGTGCTTTGCCGGTTGCACACTTGCCTTACTCTTCAGGAGGACCCCTTTCTTGTTGAGACTGAACATGTCCGCTAGCTGAGTCAGGCAGCACTGAAGGAGAGTCTGGGGGACTCTGAAGGCTCTGACTGGGCCGTGTAAGCTTCTCTCCACAGTCTATGCATTCTACCCCTTGTTGAGTACTTACTACATTTCAACCAAGTATTTTAAAGAAGTAGGGGACACTGATTTAATCTGCTAACCAAAAATGGTTGAGGCTTACTTAGTATGAAATCTGAGATGGCTCAGAGAGCTGAACTTGTGAAAGGGTATTTGTTAAATCAACTAATGGTATAATTAATATAATCAGTTTGTAAAAGACAGAAGTGTGTTTTAGAACTGGGAGATGCCCATTTGTCTACATGGATGTTTACTTGGATAAACTTCTTATTCCAGCTTACACTTACACAATCTACCCTCCCCAACACATGATGAAAAGGGCAATAAATTACAGTTCAGAGAATGGATTCAAGGGTAAATGAATGAAAGACAGCACAAAGAGTGAGCTCAGGAAAGATGTGCAGGGAGGGCCTTATCTCCTGCAGCAATGGAGTTGGGTCCAAGTCTTCCAGTAGTAACTGCAGAAGAGGTACTCAAGAACGACTCAGTCACTCAAGAACGACTCAGTCCATGGAACGAAAACACACCAGTTTCTCAAGAAAAACAATATTTACCCATTCCAGGGAGAAATCCGGGCCTCCTCAGAGAACAGCAGTGTAAAAGGAAATGAACAAACAAGCTTAAAAATATATCTGGAGAGCAGGTGATGAAATGGTAAGAGTTACTTAGACATGTTAGTAGTTACAAGTGTGATTTCTAACAGTAAACATTACTTAGATACACTAGTAGTTACAAGAGTGACTTAACAGCAAAAGTTACTTAGACAGGTTAGTTGTTACAAGTGTGACTTTTAGGAAACACTGTATCCAGAAGTTATGGAAAACAGCATTTCTTTTCTTGTCAACTTTATTTTTAATCATTCATTCATTCTCTCTTCTCCACCCCACAAAGGTGTGGCCTCATTCCTGCTAACCTGTCCCAACTGCAGCAACCATGTAATGTTCTAGACATCACATCTCTCTCTTGTACATCTTTGTTGCAGTTAGAAGTCCCTACATACCTGGCTCTGAACACTTTGTTTCAATGCTGAGCTCTTAATTCCCCTTTGTCATTAGTCTGACTTGACATCAGGGACAACCCCAATGCTATATCTGGGGAACAGGCATGTGGCTTCCCCATGCTTCTGCATCTTATAGTCCATTCATCTTACGCCTTTAGTGGTATCCTAGAACAAGATACTATCTTCCTCAGGTGGTACCCTATCTGAATGTAATGACTACCCTCCCCCCACTAAATACTGCTTGTTGGCTCTCCTGCCTCCTGGGTCACTTTACAAGTCTTCAGGGACAGATCTCCAAACAGACCACATTTAAAGAAATGGAATAAATTCAAAGGGAGTGTCCTAGTAAACAGTGGCATCAGAATAACACAGAGCTGTGTTTGGATGTTTTGTAAACATTCGTCAGATTTCCTCTAGGAAGGCAAATCAATCATTCAATCATTCACATCTGAAGATCTATTTCAAAACAATATAGGAATAAAGCTGAGCTATTGGGTCTGTCTTTTTTCCATTTCCCCAAACTAGTACATGACATGTCTGCTCATGTAAGTTCCTGAGTTTCCATAGACACTTCTGAAACAACTGTACACATAATCAGAATTTGGTAAAAAAAAAAAAAAATCCCATGAATCTGAGACTACAGCTTATTATTTTCTTGAAGTGTCTGCAATTAGCTGATAACTCTAAGGAGTGTATAAAAGGCCTCCCCCCCCAAAAATGTCAGCCAAGCACTGTGATTCAATCAAGTAAAAACATAGCTTTCCCCAACCTTAATTTAAAACATCTGGAAGGGACCGTGACAGCCAGAAGAGTAAAATTCACCAGTGGTGGTGGTGGTGGAGGGGGCAGGCAGACTTTGTCAGGACTTTAGCTCCTGCTAGCTTGAAATCCCTGGTTTCAAAAGGTAGGAAAGTCTTAATTAGTACAGGTGGCTCTTGGGAGTGGGGTGACCCCTTGATTATCAGCAGCCCTGATTGTATTGTCATCAGTCTGCCTGAACTTCAGCCAACATCAGGCCAGTTCAGAGACTGGAGACCCTGAAGATGAGGAGCTAGAGGGACCCCTTATTGCACAGGCAGCAGTAGACAAGGAGGATGTATGGATATATTGCTAGTTCCAAATTCCCTAAAATGGTAGTGCCACTAACCATGACAATCTGGGCTCAGCTCAGGCTGGACACAAGGGGATTGCTAGACAATAGACAAAAGCTCACATGCAGCTTCCTCAGAAACCAGTCAAATGGTTTTTGCCAAGAAGACCCACTCACTTTATCCCTTCTTACCTAGACAAATGGGCACCTGGATCCCCATGAACAAGCATTATTAAGCATACCAAAATCCTCATTTTAGCTTCCTGGCTCTTCTTTCCTCACTCAGCCTCCACTAGGCTAGCTCCTAGGCCGCTCCAGTTTACAGGCTTCCTAAAAGCTCCCCTTATAACCTGCAAGGCCTTTCCCTGCTTCAATTTTTTTCTCTGCTCCTGAGAGATAGCCCTGGCACTCACCAATCTGCTCCTCTCTCTGTTCTCAGTGATAGCTAAGAGTTATCTACAGGCTCTTCTAAATGCCTCTGGCTACTCCCTCTCTGGAGAGAAAGAGAGAGAGAGAGAGAGATGTAACTATCATTTCTTTCTACCCGTGGAGCCACCCAGTTTGGTGGATCTTTGGGAAGATAACTTCCCATTGGCTGGTGAATCTAGATGACCCGAGCATGAAGAAATCTGTGTCTACCCACAATTCAGATCAGCTGCCCTCCTTCACGGATGTATCACACTTCATAAGTATGCTTCTTTGTAATAGGCTGCTGCCTTCAGACCATATGCCCTATGTGGGTTAATACTGGATCTGTTCTTACCCACTCTTGTATTCACAAAGACTAACCTGGCACACAGTAGGGACTAAATAAGTATTAGATTAAAAGGGGGAATTCAAGAACACTTTCTGTATGCCCCTAAAACAGTGACCCACTCATGTGTTCTTGTTTCATTATCTGTATAATCTCTGGGCCTTCTGAATACAAGGCCATTGTCTACAGCACTGCTTCCCGAGTCCCTCCAGGTCTGGGACTGCCTTCCCAGGAGGATTGCTCTGCCACCTCCATCTCTTCAAACCATTAGGTTGTAGGTGGTTTGATCTAGGGTAGCTTGCTTGGGAAAATCCATAGAGGTCTATGTTTAGAGATTGGGCTTCTCCAGAAGAGCCATACAATGTCACAGCTGATGGCAGAAGACATGTCGGATAAGCCTGGGGCTCTTTGCTTTTAGAAAGAGCCCAACAAGCCAGGTGGTGGTGCACACCTGTAATACCAGCACTCGGGAGGCAGAGGCAGAGGCAGGATGATCTCTGTGAGTTCGAGGCCAGCCTGGTCTACAAAGCTACATAGAAAAACCCTGCCTAAAAAAAAAAAAGCCAGACAGCCTGGGCCATGCAAACTAGCCCATTCATCATTCATGTTTTCTAGATCATGTGAGCTGTGATGATTTAATCTGTAATTTATGAGTTAAATTTATATGAACAAAGGCAGATACCACTCCTAATCAAATTCCTCCCAACACTTTAAACCAATGGCCATACATCTGTTAACAGCAGAAATGGGCCAAGGTCCATGTCGATCTTTAAAATAAATGCTGAGTATTTTACTTGTGTCTTTCTGGGACACAGTGATTTTATGTGCTCTGATATAATATACCAAGTAAAGAAAGCATAAGCTTAGTGAAAGTTTGGGGAACATATCTCCAGTCTAAGTATGTCATTCTTTGTAAATTTCCTGCCCAATGGGAGTCTGGTCTGGAGGCAGACAGGGCAAGTCTGAGAAACTGAGGACATGGTTTGCTCTCCCACTAAAAAGTGTCCCCACTTTGTTTTCAGGAGGAAAACTCAGATAGCTGTGGCCACGGATCCCAGTTTGTTCAGCAGGGGAATCTGCTCTCCCCTCCACGCACCACCCCCCACACTGGAGCACCCTACTAGTACAGCAAGCTGGCTTTTCAGAAGCCATTTTTTTTTCTATGAAATCATGGTTGTTTCCTAGAGAGAGGGAGCTGCAGAGGCCGGGGAGGGAACTGTGACTTGCTGAGAGGGCTCCTACAGCCTCTGTAGTTGTGGGAGTCTGTGTGACCTGGGGCTTTTTAATAAGCAGAATAAGAACAATAGCAGGGGAATGCCTGGCTCCAAAGTTTGCAAAGTTTGTAATTAGGGACTGCTAAGGCAAGTAA